ATGTTTCTTGACAAGTTCTGTATTCATACTTAAAGGGAAAATATGAGCATATTACATTCCTACTTCCTCAAGTGGTTTTCTTCTATGTTGGAGGAAACTGCACAGTGCTTGAAGTCCCATGCTGCTTTTCTGACCACACCTAACTCCTTTTGCTTGGGGTTCTCAAGCCATCACATTTGCACTTGTTAGCTTCCTCAATGATTGAGGCTCATTAGTAATCTTGGCCTTCCTGTGATGAAGGCCTTTTCTACCAATCAGTCTTCTTACTGTAAAGCAAGATGGCTTAGCCTCACCCATACCATTGCAACAGAATATGTATTTCAACAAGCTTCCTGGGCATGTTGAGACACTAATGTTTGGGGAGCTCAGGTTCAGCCCACCTTCCACTGCAGTCCTGTGCCCATGTTTGCTTTCTGCTTCCCCCTACTAGGGTTTTTCATCAGATTTTAGATTTGTGGGGAAGATAGCTCTATTCCTCCAATTTCAACTACATAGATAGGAGGACAACTTTACTTTCAAATGCCTCAAGAAGCAAACTTAATCCCAGGCCCTATAAATAACTTTCTCATTAGCTTAGGAAAAACAAAAATGATCCATACTTTTTTATGTATAACATATGCCTACATAAATCATGCACATCATTTGCAATCAGAAGTAATGTCATCAACATATTTTCAATTGTCAGAACTGCATTTGCCTGGAGTCAATGGATATTTGCGATACTGGAATCTGTAATGCCTGGCAGGCCATGTGGACTTGTGATGTGTGTCCAAATCTACCATGCTCAGCAGAACAGCATCCCTGGTCTACAGGGATTCCTAAGGCTTTCTCATGGGAATTTCTCCAACCTTTTCTCTTCATGAGGAGGTACAATTGGGTGACTCTTATGTTGAAGAACCTTTATATAAACATCATTTTATTTGTGCTTGGGGAATGAAACCTCCAAAATAAATCACTGTGGAAAGAATTGCTGCCTATGTTAGGGATATTTTTGTGCTATGGTGTTTTTCTATGATTAAGAAAGACTGATAACTTTGAAGGATCAAGACATAAGTAAGAGACAAATAGTTTCCTTCATATTGTTTCTAAAATGTTTCAAGTTCTATTCAAGTTATAAAAAAATTATATTTGGCTTGTAAGTTGTACATGAAAACAGCAACAATAAAAAAGAATTACCCATGTGTTTGATCTTTTTGGTTAGCTAGGAATATGTAATACGTCTGAATTATTCTTTTTTAACATCCTTTATTATTTATTTAACTAATGATGACCTGAAGTTTTGATAAAATGAAATATTAATTTTAAATATCTTATAAAGTTTGAGGTCCTGATGATCGTTAGATAAAAAGATTTCCACTACAAATACTATTCTGTTTATTTTATCACATGGCCTGATTAAAATTGTGACTTAACTCTTTACTCTTTCACACTTGTATCCTATGAAAATAATTTATTCATATGTATATTAATAGAGAAAGAATGGTATACAGAGAATACTTATTCTGATGTGGTATACAAAAAAAACAGATTTTCAATTTTAATTCCTTCAGTAATCTAGGTTCTCTAATATACACAGGATTTATGCATTTATTAATTTATTAAGTATCTAGATGGACATATGCTGATAACCTTCTATTATCATGTGATTTGTGATTAAATGGAAGCAAACAATTACTATTTATAAGTCGAAATATTGACATCATATTATAGATATTACTATGTATATATCTCTATATGTTTCACCTATAATATAAGTTATATATATTATGCAGAATATATGATATAATATAATATGATTCTCTTGAAAATATTGTGGAAAGAAATAAACTATAAAATCAATAAGATTTCTCAAGAAATTTAGTGCCAATTGCTGTAATACCTCAGATAAAGTAACATTTCAATATGTAAGTGAAAATATATACATACTATCAAATGTACATACTATCAAACCAAAATTTCCAGTCATATTTAAAATAAATGTTTATTTCAGAAAAATGTAGAAAACATATAGGAAAATATCAGAAATATATTTCTATAGGTTTGTTGTTACCTCCTCCTTTGTTTTTCCCCTACCATCCCCTCCCTCCCCACCTCCCCAACGCTCCGCCCTCCCTGTCCCCTGCAAAGTTGTAAAGTTCATTTTCAACATAGTGTCTTGTACATTTTATTGTTACAATGGGTCAACCTGTATCCTTATATCAGCATTTTGTTATTTCCTTTCCCTTCCCCAAATTAGAAAAATGTATATACAAGATGAAGGGGAAATGTATTCATTACCTTATTCTTGTAACTGTAACCCCTCTATTCAGTACTTTTACAATAATATATATAAATTAAAAAAGCATATTTCTATAGTAATGTATATCATGATTTACCGCAAAGAAAAATAGTTCTTATGACTGGAAAATGTCAATGATTACCAAGCTTAGGACCAGCATTCACACTCAAGCACTTGAGACCTGCCCTTCATTTTATCTTCAAACTTTCTGATGCTTACTCTCTTTGTATTCTGACTTCTTTTCCTACATCCATCCATGTTCTTATTACACTCTGCCTGTTTCTCTTCAGGCTTTGTTTCCATTTTCATCCAAATTTCTGTTTCTACCTCTTTTGTGCTTTTTCTTACTTGATGATGTCCTCAAATTCTCCCTTGATTTGTTTAGCCTGTTGGCTTTCCTGTTTGTTTCTAATTTTTCCGTGATACCATCTCTGAAAGCTAGTCTCACTATTGCCAGTAAAATTTCTTAATTTTGGTCTTCAGTTGTCTTTATTAACTCCTGGTGCTATTACAGTGGTTATTTTCACTTCTAGCAATGGTCTTCACAGTGTCATTCACAGTGTGTATTCTCTCTTTAGAACTGGAAGCCTCAACTTTCCAGTAATAATACGCTGATGAGTATTCCTTCTTCATCTTTAACTCTCATTAGAGCTACCTCTTTGCAACTGGAAGGTATGTTTAGAATGGAAATTGGCTTTAACTTAGAAAATCTACTGGGATTGACATAATAATCAGGAAAGAAATATTCAGGAACAGAAGAGAACAGTCAATCAATATCCAAATTCAGGTTCTAACACACACCAGTTCCATGAGTGTTTTAAATGCTGATGAATTTCAAATGGGACTGAGTGTGAAAGCCGTGGAAGATGCAAGATGTTTATGTGGGAGTCTTTGCGATGTTGTTTTTGTTGGTAACAATTTTAGTATTTGAATATTTTTCTTCATTTCTTTATATCCCATCCAAAATTAGTATGGGTAGATTTCAATCTAGATAAGTCCATTTATGGTTGATTCTAGCAGGAATAAAAACTCAGTTTCTTATTCCTTGGTTTTGTTTTTTAAGATACAGAGAAAAGGAATTTTTATTTTTTTAAATTTTTTTATTGTGAAATTAAAAAAGGAGTTACAGTTACATGGGCAAGATAATGAGTACATTTCTTATCAAGCATTGTAGCCTCCTCCTTTGTTTCCCCTTCCCTCCTCCCAACCCCACACAAAGATTGTAAAGTTCGTTTTCCACATGACAACTTGTACTTCTCATTGTTGCAACGGGCTTGGTTTTTAAAATGGCCTTGAGCTTCTGCCTGAGATAAAATTAGGTAGTAGAAAACGGACAGTGTTGGCCAAAGTGTAAATGAATGCTAATTTGTAAACTTTTTCCTTGTCTTTTTCTCCTTGCATGTTCAGAAATAGCTAAGACTCTAGTTCAATCCTCTACAACGTTTTTGTTGTTAAGCCTTCCTAGATTCATGCTATGAGGTACATGCATTCTATATATGTAGTAGACATTACTTGTAGAATGTTAGTATTGTATCAAGCTGTCCAATTCATTGTTTTATAACTGTCTATTCACTAACTGATTCACTGTGTCACTTCCTACTAGTGTCTCTATTAAATCTTTTAATCTAGCTGTGTCTACCTCATTACTTCCATTGTCATAGTACAATCACCTTACATAAATTTAAATCATCTGGTGATTGTTTATAAAATCCAGATGGTTACAGTTTATTTTAAAAGTACTGACTCAATTTCTACTGAAATATTTCATAATATATATTTTTCATATATATCTCAAGACAGTTCTCATATATAATCTGGTTAAGAAGCTTTGAAAATGAAAGAACTTGTGACTAATCTTTCTGGTAACAATATTTCTTACCAGAAACCCATTTTATCTGCTATTTTATGATTAGCTAAATATAATTTATAATATTTTTTTCAATGCTTACACCTGTGTTAAGATTTCAACTAAGCAACTGGTGGATTAAACCTGTAATCCTGGATATGCAGGAGGCTGTGATCTAAGGATTGAGGTTCAAAGTCAGGACAGGGAAAAGATACTTGAGTGTCCATCTCTAATTAACCAACCAAATGCTAGATTGGAGGAGTGGCACAAGTAGAAGGATGTCAGCCATGAGCATAAAAAATGAGTGAGAGTAAGAGGGCCTTAGTTTAGTTAAGTCCAGCTACTGACACAGAAACAGATACACACACACAGACACACAGATACACACACAGAAATACACAGGGAGAGGGAGAGAGATATATATACAGAGAAAGAGAGAGGGAGGGAGGAAGGGGGGGAATTTCAGTGAGTTAAAAGTCATGATTGTATTCCAATTAGATTAGATTTTTTTCAGTGTTCAATTCACACTATTACCAAACACTTACAAATGTATTTTCCTTTGACATTGTCTCCACGACCCAGAGATAGGATTTTCTAAAACACCAACATTCTTTCCACATGTCTAGAGGACAATTTTCAGTCTTCAAACCTATTTATTTGTGGTCACTTTGAATGAACAGGAATAAAATGATTATATCTATTAATCTCTGAAAAATTTTCCCTCTAGTACAATAATGGTAAATAAAGTCAAATTTTCATTCCATTGAATGTTTGCCTTTATTTCAATTCTACTCCTCTAAGCATTCACTTCATAAGCCCTACTGAATGGTCTACTACTCGTATTTCATCTTGTTGCAGGGGACATCCTGTGAGAACATGGAGAGGGAAAATGGAACGTTGTTGTCAGAGTTTGTTCTCATAGGACTCACACGGCGACCACAGTGGAAGATCCCTTTGTTCCTGCTGTTCCTGGGAGTGTATGTCGTCACTGTCATGGGGAACCTCAGTCTGATTGCTCTTATCTGGAAGGACCCTCACCTTCACATCCCCATGTACTTCTTCCTTGGGAGTTTAGCCTTTGTGGACACATCTATATCGTCGGTTGTGATTCCAAAGATGCTGGGTAACTTCTTAACGAAAATGAATACTATTTCTCTGTCCCAATGCATGGCACAATTTTTTTTATTTAATCTGAGTGCAACTACCGAATGTTTTCTTTTGTCAGCCATGGCTTATGATCGCTATGCTGCCATATGCAATCCCTTACACTACCCAGTGATAATGACCAATAAACTATGCATCCGACTTATAGCCTCATCATTTCTAGCCGGGCTTTTCCACGGTTTACTTCATGAAGGTTTTTTGTTGAGATTAACCTTCTGTAATTCCAACGCAATACACCACTTTTATTGTGACATTATATCATTATTTAAGATTTCCTGTACTGACACGTCTATTAATTATATAATTGTTTTTATTTTTTCTGGTTCAATTCAGGTGTTTACTATTTTGATAGTTCTTGTCTCTTACACACTTGTTCTCTTTACCATCTTAAAAAAGAAATCTGCCAAAGTCATAGGAAAGGCCTTTTCTACCTGTGGGGCCCATCTCTTCTCTGTGTCTTTATACTATGGGCCTCTTCTCTTCATGTATGTGCACCCTGCTTCTCCACAGATAGAGGATCAGGACATGGTGGATTCTCTGTTTTATACGGTCATAATTCCTGTGTTAAATCCCATTATCTACAGTCTGAGAAATAAGCAAGTCATAGATTCAGTGAAAAAAATCTTGAAAAGAAATGTTTAAAACTGTGTCCTAAACTATTGGATGGATGGATATAATTCAGAGAATCACTGTTGGAAGCAATTCTAGGCAAAATAGCCTGTGAGACCTATGTCTCTAAAATAACTAGCAAAAAAGCAGGGCTCGAGGAGTACCTGAGTTAAGCCCCAATACAGAGAAATCATATTTTTACTGTTCCTCTTTTGTAAAAAAAAAAATCCACAAAATAACATAGGTTTAATGTGGCTGCACTTTGTTCATTGTCTAAAGACTTTTGCAATTATAATAAGCCTGGCATTTAATAAGGTAACTTAGAGGTACCTAAGAATAGTCTTTAAAATATCTGTATATATATTTCAAAAGCAAACCAGTAATTTTGTGACAACCCAAATTTTTCTAGGTGCATTAACAAAGGTATTAGCCTATAAAATTCTGTAATTTCTGCAAAAAATTTGTCATAGATATTATCCCAGTAATGTAACTTGGTTAAACACCATATTTACTTGTATAGAGGAGGAACAGACCAAATCCGTGGAATGTGGCTAACTATCAAAGAGTCTCACATTGTACTCTAGTGGCAAGTGGCAGATTTGAGCTCAGGTATCACACAGTGGAATAATCAGAAAGGTAGAGATAATAACAGATCTATGACATGCCAAAATTGTAAGTGAGTGTTCTGTACCTATTGTGCCCAGTGCGGTTAAAGGCCTGAAGACAAGTCAGTACCCTCACTCTCCACAGTCTTTCTTGTAGTTCTATTCCTGTATTTTTTAAAATCTGAAAAGTTCCACTAATTCATGATATTAAGAAATTAAGCTGAAATTTAAACTGAAGGGAAATGTACAAAGAGAGTAGAAAATTGAAAGCAATGGCTCTTGGTTATCCTAGACCCTTTATTTTTTGTTAGCTTTAAAAATTAAAGTGTTAAGAAATCAGGAATATCTATGTATGTATAGTTGAAATGAAGAGTGTTAAGTGTATTTTGTAATGATCAAATGATACGATGTCATAATGTTCATGAAGTTTCTGAGAAAGATGTAAAAATAAGCATTTCCATAAATTTATCCTGAGTAATATCCTTGATCATTAGCTTTTGACCCTCTCTGTGACTAGTAAGACCAAGCTCTTCACCTCTCCCAGCATGAAGATTCCACGCACAACTGAGGTATTTCCTGCAGAATCTACTCACCTGTGTTTTTGTAAAACTTTCAATATGTTTGTCCCCAACTTCCCGACACTCTCTTTCTTCCAAACATTGCTGCCAGATGATTCTTTACAATTAAAGTACTAGTTAGAGTATACCTTTCTTCAATAACAGTTAATGGATTGTCATTACTACCACTCTGTGTGCCTGAATGGTGTACATATACAAATATGTATATGCACATATGTGTGAGAGGATGTATTCAGTGAATATGTTGCCTATTTGTTTTGTGTGTCTGAGTGCCTTTTCTTGGATCATTTCCAATGTAACTAGATTCATCTCATAAATTTCTTCCACAATTCTCCAAATGCAAATAGTACTGGTTTTATACCCGAGGGGCCTTGCATGACTTGTGGATCTACTTTACTCTCTCAGGTATAGGCTATCATTCATTAGATCCCTTAAAAAATTCCTAACCTCTCCTATACAAAAAGTTCTACAGCTTTATTTATTATTAAAGGGATATATTTTATTCAAGACCTTGCTAAAATATAACAGTGAGACTACTTGTAGGTCTTCCGTAGAGTACCAAAGATCCAAAGACAGATGAAATGATCACTCTTTAAAGCAATTTAATGACTTATATATGCCTGCTAGGCACACTTGACACTGTATCACAATTATTAATTGCAACTATTAATTGTAACTATTAATTTTTGTTGTTGTTGTTGGTTGTGGGGCTTGAGCTTGGAGCCTTGGTGCTTTACCTGAGCTCTTTTACTCAATGCTACTGCTCTATCTCTTTGAGTCCAGTTTTGTGTTGGTTAATAGGAGATAAGAGTCTCATGGACTTTACTACCTGGGCTTACTTTGAACTATAATCCTAAGATCTCAGTCTCTTGAGTAGCTAGAATTACAAGCCTGAACCACCGGTGTCTGGCTCACATTATTTCTCAACAGTAAAAAGTCTTAAGTTGTATTGACTGCTTCATACCAATTCAACTTGCTAACTTATGGCAGTCAAAACTATCATGAATCCAACTTCTTTTCAGTAATACTTAAGAGTGTGTGTGTGTGTGTGTGTGTGTGTGTGTGTGTGTGTGTGTATGTGTGCAGAACATGACAAAGTTTCATAAAGAAGCTATTAAATATTAATAACTAAAGAATACAAACCATACAAATATTTAAAATGTATCATTATTGCAGGATTCTAAAGCTCTACAAGATTAGAGCAGTTCATATACTTTCCTTTAGTTCCTCTGGGAGATACGCCTAAGGCCACAGAAATACAAAATGAATTACATTCCAAGTGGCTGTTACTTTTTCTCCTTTATGATTACATGCATTTTCTTAAATATTACTGTTTCCATTGGAATGATGTTTTAAAATTATCTGGACAATTTTTTTTAGTAAGAATCAAGGACTAAATTCATGACATAAGGAAATGGAGTTTCTTCTACACTAATGAAGTTTTATTCCTCATTGAGAATATTTAGAGATCATTTCTCATAGAAAGGATGATGTCTAATAGAAAATTTTATCCAGCTATGTACAAAACAGCTTGCTTTAATCTACTACATGAAAATACTAATAAAATAGAGTTATTCTGCATGTATTCTGAGTATATTAATTTCCTAACCTGGAGATATGAAGGAAGCTATGTATAGCTTTATGTATATAGATAAATACATATATATCTGTATGTATATATGCATATTTTAAGATAATTTTAAGCTTTTTTTCTTTTTAGCATATCTGTAACAATATTATACAAAGCATACCCAAAGAAATAGCATGAATAATGCAAAGACCTATAAATTCAGAGTAATATTTTCTCAGTCTGAATTTAAAGTTAGCTATGATAAAAAGAACACAGATATGTTTAAATATGTGCCAAGAACCTTCCAGGCATGCTTCCGTTCTTTATTCCTTTAAAAATCAAGGACTCTGAGCTGATTCCACATCTTGGGTACGGTAAATAGTGCAGCAATGACTGTGACAGTGCCGGTAGGTTTAGTGTGGCCTGGTTTGTGTTCCATTGGATAAATGCCCAGGAGTGAAAATGCTGGATCATAAGAGATTCTATGTTTAGTTTTTTGAGGAACCTCCATACCGCTTTCCAGAGGGGTTGAACAAATGCAATAGAGTTCCATTTTGGCCCATCCATGCTGCCAGCATTTGTTATAGTTAGTTTTCTTGATATTGGCCATTCTTACAGTGGCAAGGTGGAATCTCAGTGTTTTGATTTGCATTTCTTTTATAGCCAGAGATGTTGAACATTTTCTCATGTGTATATTGACCCATTCATTAATTGTGTTGTTTCTTTGAGGGTTTATTTTTTGAGGGTTTATATTTTGGATATTAGGCCTTGTCTCATATATAACTGGAAAAAATCTTCCCCCATTTGGTGAGCTTCCTATTTTTTTTTCTATTTAACTTTTTTTTAATAATAAAATATTTCAGGCTCTGAATTCTTTAGCTTGCTAGCTATGTCCTTTGCCAGGCAAGAAACTTTTAAATTTGATCCAACCCTATCTTCCCAATCTTCTTTGATTTTTTTTTTTTTTTTACCATAGCCAAGATATGGAATCAACCTAGATGTCCCTCAATGGATGAATGTAACAAGCTGTTTTGATTACTATGGCTTTGTAGTAGAATTTGCAGTTTGGTATTGCTATTACTCCATCACCGTTCTTTCTGCTAAGGATTGTTTTTGCTATTTGGGGTGTTTTATTGTTCCATATGAATTTTGAGTTTGTTTTTTCTATTTCACTAAAGAATGAAGTTGGGAAATGGAAAGACTTGGAAAAAATTATATTAAGTGAAGTAAGCCAGGCCCAAAGAAACATAGGTCCCAAGGTTTCCCTTATTTGCAATAACCTGTATAGTTCTGAGACAAGCAGACACAGTCAGATAAGTTGATATTAGGCAAAATGAACCCCAAGATAAGGACTCAAATGGTTTTTCTTTCTTGCTATTGTTTCTAATATATTTATAAGATTATTTCTTTTTTACTTTGTATGTCCCTCCCCCACCGTATAGCCCCTGTTTTCACTGTATTTGATGTTGGTATAATTTGTGTAGGGGAAGGGAAAAAACAAATTGTTTAAATATGGATACAAGTGCATTCAATCCAACAATGAGATGTACAAGATGGAGGGAGAGGGGGAGATGGGAGGGCAGGGATGTTAAGGAGGAGGCAACAATGCTTGATAAGAAATGTACTCATTACCTTGCTCAAGTAATTGTAACCCCTCTGTAAAGTATTTTCACAATAAAAAAATTTAATAATAAAAAAAGAATGAGGTTGGGATATTGATGGATATTGCATTGAATTTGTAGGTAGCCTTTGGCGATATTGCCATTTTCACGATGTTAATCCTCCCAATCCAGGAGCATGGGAGGTTTTTCCACTTCTTTAGTTCTGCTTTAATTTTCTTTTTCAGGTTTTTAAAGTTTTCATTATAGAGGTCCTTCACTTGTTTAGTTAATTCCTAGGTATTTTATTTTTTGTGGGGCTATTACAAAAGGAGTTGTTCTCCTGATTTCAGCCACGCTTTTCTTGTTATTGGCATACAGAAAAGCCATTGATGTTTGAGGGTTAATTTTATACCCTGCTACTTTGCCAAAGTTCTTTAATCAGCTTGAGTAACTTGATAATGGAGTCCGTGGGATTCTTTAAATACAAGATCATGGCATCTGCTAAGAGGGAGAATTTTACTTCATCTTTTCCTATTGTATCCTCTTTATGTTCGCATCTTGTCTGATTGCTGTAGCTAGGCTTTGTAATACTAAATTGAAGAGAAGTGGAAAGAGTGGACATCCTTGTCTTGTTCCTGAAGAGGAAATGGGCTTAGCTTTTCACCATTAAGTATAATGC